CATCTCTACTACTCTGCTGGCCATCTTGTCACCCTAAGTGCATCACAGCTTTCCAACCTATAGGTGAAATGCTTCTTCCTGAAGAATAAGCATTCTGGTGGATTTTCATAGACTCGTAAATGCCAACTCATGGATTTGTTAGCATTTTATAGCTGGTGTAAAAGTTGTAATGAAGACACCGTCTGGTAGTGAACTCCCTGTCATTGGACATGTTCACAACAGATTTGAAAAGTTTTTTTGTTTTTTTTTTCTCAAAAAGATCTGAAAAAATTCCTTTCAGAAAAATGATGGAGGCTAAGCCAGCAGTGGCTAGGGGACAGATGAGACCATCTAAGGAGTCTATGTTACAGGAGCAGCTTTTTCACAAGTAATACACACAGCTATGCATGCTCATTTGATGAGGCAAGCTGGCCCAGGAAGAAGGAAGCTGGAAAAGGAGCCTATCCCTAGCTGGAGAAGCTTAGTTTACATTATTAACCACAGAGAAATAGGACATGGGTGCCCAACTTAATGGCAGTTTGTATTTCTTTTCACAAAGCTGCATATGCCCTACTCTAATAAAGAATGTAGAATTTTAGTTTTCTGCTTCTTGTAAGGAGAATAAAGTGAAAGGAAAAATCACCTCCCTTGCATACCCTCTGACCCAATGTTTGCCTGAGCATCTGAAAAGCATATAAAGAGCTTCTACAAAACATTGTCCTGCAGTTAATCCCCTCCTTGACCAAAATATCTATAGCTGGCAAAGATTTAGGAAAAGACTAATAAGAGGATTTGAGAAAGTGAACTCAGACTATTGTTTCTGAAACTTAGTGTTGGCCTCTTGGGAAAAGGTTGATCAATCCAAAAGAAAGATGATGAAGAAGGATGGAAAACTTACTGGTTTGGCTGCTGACAATGTACCGATACTTTCTGCAAAATCATGTTATTATTGCCCTATTGCTGCTATCTTTGAAATCTGTGAATCTCTGTCATTCAAAACGTTAATCATAACATAATACTGACATTTGGGCATACGGCTATTCTTGTTCTCTGGGCTCTTATGCCCCAACTCACCACAGCATTTTCTCTAGCATCAGGAGTGTTGTTCTGACAACACAGCTAACTTTTGTATTTCCTTGTTTGGAACTCTCTAAAAACAAAAGCAAAGGGGAAAACTAGCCATGCAATTCACGGAAGCAAAAAAAAAAAAAAGAAGCTATGGATCTTTTTAGTAGGACATATACCCTGCAGTTCACTCATCTGCTTCCCCTGTCTTGAGAAGGTAGAAGTAACTTCAAATTCACATCACTAGTGTTTTCCATGATGTCATTTCACATGGTCCAAACCTACTAATGTGCCTCCTTTCTGGCACACAAATCACCCACCATACCAATACCCAAGATTAAAGAAAAGGAGATCTGCCCAAGAAAGCAGCCACAGCAACACTTGCTATCTACTCTCAGTGAGGTTAATTTGGAATGAGGAATGTAAAATAGGTTCATGGAAATTTATGTAGTTCTATGGATTAAAAATGGTTTGTCCCCGGGAGTTCAGGTATTATAAGCTTGGTCCTCAGTGTAGCAATGTCAAGAATAAAGGGGACCTTTAAGAGGTGGGGCTACTGGAAGATCATTGTGTCATTGCAGGTGCTATCTTCTGAAGGGATTAAGGTAGGTTTTTTTAATTTTTTTTTTTTTTAGTTGTAGATGGACACAATATCTTTATTTTATTTATTTATTTTTATGTGGTGCTGAGGATTGAACCCAGTGCCTCACGCACATGAGGCAAACACTCTACCACAGGGCTACACACCCACCCTCCCCAAGGTAGATTTTTTTTTTTTTAAACTGGACACCACTGTGAGTTCCCACAAAAGAGATTGTTATAAAACAGGAAGACTGCCCTGGTGTCTGGCTTCCTGTCTTGGCATGTGATATCTCCTTCACACACACACTCCTACCATGATCCCATTGGCCAAGAAGTGACATAGCTTAGAAGGACCTTCACCAGAGCTGGTACCACACTGTGCAGACTTTCTGCCTGAAAAAGTGCCAGTTAAATAAATCTCTTTTCTTTACTAATACCCAGCCTCAGGTACATCATTATAGCAAAAGAAGGCAGACCAACGCACAGAGTTTCAAAGTATCTCCCCACAAAACATTTTTTAATTATGAAGGGGAAAATAGTGATTTTAATGTAGAGAAGCCTGCAGACACCATCCAACCATGTGATTAATGTTATCGCCTTCAATAATGAAACAAATCAATATCTTGTGCCTTCCGATCTAAAGTACTGAGAAAAACACATGCTTCTTCGGTATTCTTGTAAAAAAATGTTCTTACCAAACTTGAGTCTAATCATGAGGAAACAGATGAGCCCAATTTGAAATATATTCTATAAAAAAACCTGACTTATAGTTTTCAAAAAATTTCTAGGTGGTTAAAGGGGGAAAGAAGGCAGGCAGGTTGGCTGACTGAAGGAAGTATGATAGAGTAAAAAGGACTTGGGAAACAGAACAAATAAATGTAATCCAAGAAAAATTGTTGAAAAGGTGAACCAAAACCACAGATTAAAGAATAATACTGAACCAATGTTAATATCCAGATTTTAATTATTGTATATACCATTATAGAACAAAATGTCCTTGTTTTTAATGTATACACAATAAAATATTTAGAGTTGAAGGAACATCATATCTATCATTGGTTTCCAAATTTTCAGAAAGTATACATACACATTTATACATGTGTGTAAATAGAGTAAAGAAAGAAAAACTGATCAAGTAATCTGAGAAGAGTATATAGGAATTCTTCCTAACAATTTTTGGCAACATCATTATAAATAAGAAGGTAGTATTCAAAGAGAAAAGAAAAAAAAAAAGAACAAGCCAGGTAGGCCTAAACTTTTGAAGGAAGAAGCTCGAGAAGAAGGAGAAATGTAGACACCCCCATCTTCTCTGTTCCATCCATGCCCAACACTATGAAGCACTGCAAATTCTTGAGTTTCCCTAAAGGATATTATGGGAGACACTGATGATGCCTCCAAACCCCCAGAGCCTAGCACAGGGCCTGGCAGATGCTGACCATAGGAATGACTGGGCAGACTAGGGGCTCAATGGACTGCAAGAAGTAACTGGAAAAAAATGGAAAGAAAACATGGACAAGCCCCCACTGGTGGCACTGCATCTGCAAAGCAGGTGGAATTGTGGCCCTCCTGTGTTAAATGGCTAGGTGTAAGGACAGGTAGAAGACATCTGAAGGGAGAGTGAGATATAGCCCTACTCTCCAGTATTCATTTCACTTAGGGGAAAAGGGAATGGAGCACGTACCATTGTGTTGGCCTAAAATGGCCCAGTTCCTCTGGACTGAGGGACAAAGGGTGTAATGTTCCAGGTACTATGTGTCCCAGAATGCAAGGTCTCTGTTGGATCATGCATAAACTATTTCATGTACTCAGATAAGAAGAAATGAAAACCAAGATGCCCAAGATAACAGTAAGAATTGAAATATCTCCTTATTCGGTAAATCTTTCATCATGAAAACAATGTCTCATTACATTCTGTTCTTACTTCCCAAACCAACTAGTACTTAGTTTTTTCAAATTCACATTGACTCTGCACATGGGATCTGAAATTGAAATCATTTTAATTATCAAGTTCAAGACAGTCTGTTTGAAAGATGAAAAAAATATTGCATTGCTTCAAAAATGTAGCTAATTCAAGATTGTTCAAACAGATTAACTTTCCAGAGAAATTAACTTCAGAATAGAGATGAAGGAAAAAAAAATACAATCTATAGGTCACTTAAGTGTAAGTTTTAGGAAATGTTCCTATAACTCACAGAAAATTGTGAACTTAAACAAATGTGCTTTTACTCACCACCAAGATACAATTTCATAATCATGAACACTGTGCCATAATATTCCAGAGAAAAATTAAAGTAAACCATGGCACATAACAAAGGGCAGGACTCCACATTTCAAACCTGATTTGCATATTAATTCAAATAGGAGCCTCTTTGCTTTAATAAGGAATACAATTTTCAAAGTCTCTTTAGCTGAGACTGCTATGCTTGTTGGTAGAGACCTGTTCACCAATTTATATAAAAAGATGCACTTAGGGCAAATCCAAAGCATAATGGGGCAGGGGGTAGAGAGGGAGGCAAAATACCCTAATCAGTAAATAATGTGCCAGGAGCCCTTAGAGGAACTGGGAACAGTTGCACAGCTTCTCCCTCTTCTTCTTTACTTGACATGACTGAGAGGTCAATTTGTTTTCCAGTATAACTCAGTTCTTCATCCAATTTAATTAATAAGGACAGATATTTAGCTCAACCCTGGAGTTAGCTTCTGCAATCAGTTTCTCCCTTATACCTCCCAGCTTCCCATTTCTCCTGACAAAGCTGCCCCAACTTGCTCATGGGAAAATGTACGCAGGTCATACTTCCCTCTAGGCTCCTCCCAGGAATGGATATTGTCTGCCCAACCTAAAAGTTACCAGGTGAACCCACAAAAGCCAAGAGTCATCCTCTACCTCTCTTGGGTTCAAGCGTCTCTCCTGTCCCAGACAGAGTCTTATCCTGGGCTATAAACCAGATAAAGTCAAAAGGACTCATGGTGAATCCCAAGGTCTGATTTAAGAGTTCTAGAAGAAATCCTTCCTTCAGTGGAGCCCACAGAACCTCTGAACTATATGTAATTAGTTGATAGCATGGTATTCTTACTTCCATCATTCTCAGTCAATTCATCTTCCCAACTCCCTGCCCACTCTCATTTCTCCATGACAGATGCATGCCTGTGGCTACCCCCGGGCTGCTCTGCACTGGGATGATACTGGTTCATCAGTCAAAAATCAAGACATTGCCTATTTTCATCAGAAGAGGAAGTAGGGACACTGGACCAAAGGATAGTGTGACAGTTTTAGAAATCTGAGCCTCATACTAGTCATCAGCTACCAGTATGTTATCACCAATGAAAAATGCATAAGCTTAGCTTCTTGGTCCCCACCCTCTGGTTCTTCTTACCTTTGGTTCCATTGAAATGAAACTGTGGGTTCCTCTGCTCGAGAGAACTGACCTTTTAATCGTCCTGCTATGGTAGAAGTGGTAGTAGTCCTTCAGGGCCCCAATCTGCAAAGGCAAGGTGGGAGGGAAAGCACAAAAGAAAGATGTTAAAAGTTTAAAACAGTCTTCTGCTTCCCTGTTTTTCATTAAAATAAGAACACAAAACAAAAAGAGGTCTATAAATTATGCAGGTGCCCACTGTGCTTAAATGTTACTTGAACCTTGGTGATCACTTTTCAAAAGGAGGACATGTGATATGAAATGGAGTGTCCTTGAGGCAGTGACTGTGGAACTAAAGACTATAATGGGCAGCTTAGCCTCTCCATAGCTCCTTCTTAATGTTTAATTTATATGCAGCATTTTAAGTAATTCTATATCAATCTATATCCAAATGTGGGAAAGACGGGAGGAAAAAAATCAAATAGCTATCTGGTTATAAAAACACATTGCATTTTGTTTGCTCTAAGAAATGCACAATGAAGGACCTTGTTAGATTATTTATATAGTTAATTTGAAACATGCTGTAAGCAGTTGATCATTCACAAAGATAACACTACTTAGTTTCCCCGACTTCAGTAGACAGTATAAATGCATAGCCCTTATTCATTTATTGCAAAACTAAAAGTGGAATGGCAATTTCTAAAATGAAATAAAAATCACATATCCTACCTATCAGTTCAGTTTTCTCTGTTAAACAGTCAAATCCACTTTAACTTATTCATGAACACTTCCGTTGTCTTGTTTATGTGCCCCTTTGGTTAAGTTAAAAACAGGTCTCTTTAGGATAGTTTTGAAAATAAGTCTCAGTCCACTTTGAAAAAAAACAAATGAACAAAATCTCAAACAACCATATTCTCTCAGAAGATTATAGAAAATGTGGATCACAGAATGAATATTGAATCACATCATAAAGGAAGGAGAGTTTGCTTCAAGCTTAAGCTCAAGTCTCTAGAGCTAAATAGCATATGCTTTACTAAGCCTGTTTCCTTTTCTATAACATTATACATGGGGCTAGTTGATTTCTAAGACCTCTGTAGTGCTCTATTCTATTCTGTGATATTGACATTGTACTTGTGTTGGGAAAACACAGTAAATACAGTAAATGTCTAATTACCCAGAACACTCGTGGCTCCACCCTAGAAAAATTACCATCATCAGGATAAATTCCAATTGATACAATACAACATTGGGCTTCTTCAGTTGACACAAAAAAGTTATTGGCCCACCTGGCCCAGTGGCACATGCCTATAATCCCCTCGGCTCAGGAGGCTGAGACAGGAGGATCTCAAGTTTAAAGCCAGCCTCAGCAAAAGTGAGGTGCGAAGTAACTCAGTGAGACCCTGTCTCTAAATAAAATACAAAATAGGGCTGGGGATGTGGCTCAGTGGTCAAGTCCCCCTGATTAATCCCTGGTACCCCCCCCCACCCCCACCTCCCCAAAAAAGTCATTGGCCCTGGTTAATTCTTTGCAGATACAAGATTTATTTCTAATTCCCTTCTTTTTGTCACATTCTCAACCATCATCCCACCCAATTTTTGTACCATTTAGGAACCATCACTGGAACTTGGTGCTGTAAGTGAATGTTGTGTCACCAGTAAAATCTGAAAGAAAATCGGAATCCTCACATTTCTGACTCAAGTGGAAATAGCCTGATCTATAAGAAGGAATTCTGGACTCTGAAAACAAGAGGGAGGCGAGGGCGGAGCAACCCCAGCTGAATCCTCTAACCTCTGTGATCCTGGACTCTGAGGCAGCAGCAGAAAATGAGGAGGAAGGAGGGCACAGAGGCCAGCCTAGCCTCCAGGAGTGTTTGAGGATAATTTTACTGGCCAGCTTTGAGATTCCAGAGGACAAAGGGTAAAACTCAGGAGTGGCTACAGATCTTTTACAAGAAAACCTTAGAACCCCCCAAAGCTTAAGAGTTTTCAACTCATGTAGCTTTTGTCAAGCATTCCTTAGGTAAATAGAGTAGTTCTGGTAGAAAAGAACACAGAAGAAGAAGCTTAGAACTAACCATCACCAAGGTCAAAAATGCCCATGCGCTTAAGATCATGGCTACTCAACTGTAATAGAACCCCATTGATTATAGGAAATGGTTGAACTCAACTCAATTATTAAACTCAATGCTGTGGGTGAAACACACACATCCTGAAGGAATCTAAAGATCCTTTGAGCTCTCAGTGGTGCAGAACAGTTCCAAAGTAATTCAGGGGTTGGAAAATGGAAATTTTGTCCTGACTCAAGTTCATCTGGGCCTTTGGACAAATCATTTCCTCTCTAGGTGTTGCTGTCCTCAGTGGTAAACTGGGAAGAACACAGGAGGCAAAGTAGACAGAGACTGAGCATTAGAGTAAAATGGGGAATAATGTTTGGGTTAATGTGGTTCATGAGGACTGAAAGCAACGTGTGAACTGCCAGGGCAAGTCAGCACCTAGCTCTTAGTAACTGTTGGGAGATTATTTATTTCCCTTCTAAATTTATATCTAAATCCTACTTTCACTAACCTCTTATCTTCCTTCTAATTAATCCTTAACCTCTAACCCTTGGGGACATTTCCTCTTGGCCCATATAAGTCTCACCTTCCAATCTCATTAGCAAAAATCAAAAGGGTTGATAAAACACGGTGGTAGAACATGTAGGCAACAAATGTAATTTATTCAGGATTAGTAAAAAGCGTAACATGGGCCATCTGAAGAGACATTTGATGATATCAGTAAAATTACAAATTGTATCTGACCTTTGACTCAATCTTTCCACTTCCCAAGTTGTATTCTGCAAAGACAGTCACTGACATTCAGGGATGGATGTCACAACAGACTTTGGAAAGCAAAAGAAGGCAGACAATCAGCTGCCATGGATAAGATAGGTCATTAATTCTATATGAAATATAGAAAATAGACTGACTTTTAAGTTCATCATGAGTAAAAAGATAAATTACAAAAGTGCAAAACATGTGTACAATATGACCAAATTGTTGAAGAGAGAAAAAGGAAAAAAATCTATGTTATGTATGTTTATAGTTGTAAGGATAGGTACCTTATGTGCATATATTAGAGTCTTTTTTTTAATTATAAAATCTAACTAAAAGTGAAAAAAATAAAATAGCACACACACAAGGACCCCATGTACTCAGTTCATCCAATCTCTGTAATAGTAAGCTCTACTTTATCCCCATCTCTTAGGGATTCTGTTTCCTTTATAAAGTTGTGAAACAGTTTCATTTATTGGGTCACATCTCATTTTATAAATGCCTATCTGTGTCAGGCATCTTTTTGCTCATCTACATGCTCCATTTACCTTAATCCCCCAAATCCCTGGAAGATAAAATAGCATTAGCTCTAATCTGATGAAGAAGGCTACCAAGTCTCTGGGAGTACCTAAATATACAGCCAGGCTTGATTGTGAGGTGGTAAAATATGAATCTTTGGAGAATGTCCACTAGCATCAGGGTGAACTTAGTTTTGTGATGGATCCTGTGGATGGACTCAAATGACACAGTTCAATGCCCTTCTGGAGACTCTTCCTGCACTGCACAGATGAAATGTTAAATTTCCTGCAGCTCAGGCCTGGACACAGCTCAGGCTGTGTCAGTCAGACACTCAAAGAAGTTGAGCACCACAAGACATTCCCTTAGGGGCATTTATGTGTTTAGAGGTAGTGGTGGCTGAAGTCTAGCCATCTGGGCATCCTTTAGCATAACATATTTTTTGATAAGCTGCTAAGTAACTATTAAAGAGCTACAGTGGCAACATAAAGTAGCTTCCTCATTCCTCAGCTTTCTGACTAAGGCAGAAATGGCCATTCTCATGAAGGTCCAGGATGGCTCTGAAGAACATTTCTGGAAGCTTCACCTTCATGATTAATTCTACAAGCTATTAGTCTAATGTCTTTCAAATTAGCCCAACTAGCAAATGCAGTTCTCTATAGTAGTTTTCCCTGACGATCCAAAACTGGGTAGGCTGGAACTTAAAAAGTAGCTATACATTTTACATAATCTTGCATAACAAAGAGATCTCAGTTATGTACCTCTGATCCATGGGCTGAAGGCACAAATGAGCCAAAGGCTGATGAATGACTCACCCTGTCAACTCTGATGTCCTGTTAAATGACAAGAGTTTCCTTTGATCTTCTCATAAGTACTTGCACCACTCTCCTCTCTCAAATCTGTTTTCTATATAGTAGCTAGAATGATGTTTACAAAATGCAAATCTAGCTATAGGGTTATATGTCATACCTCTTCCTAAAATCCTTCTGTGCTTCCCTTTGCTCTTAAATAGTATTAGTTAAGGGGGAGGGTACAGCTCAGCAGTAAATGCTTGCCTAGCATGCATGAGGCCCTGGGTTCAATCCCCAGGACAATAACAAAATTATTAGTTAACATTTAATACTATTCCATAATGTAGTTTCAAAAAGTAAATCAGAATAATGATATCATACTAAAAATGTACACTATGCCAGAAAGTACTCAATATGTTTTACTTAATTCATTAAACAAAGACCAATATCCTACTCTGACTACAGAGCCTGTAGGATATGGCCAGGCCTCTCTCTGCAGCCTCACCTCAAATTTGGATTCTTCGCATTCTCTGGATCCAGGCCTGCTGGTCTATCTTTAGTTCCCTGACTGTGTCATGCTTACTTACCCCTCTGCCTCTGTCCTCTTCCCCTTCCTTTATGTCTCACCCCTAGTGGGAAGTCTCCCAAAACTCCCCAGAGGAGTCAGCTTCATTCACTAGATCATGTCATGGAGTCACAGGTGCACACACCCTGATCAGTACAGCACTGCTCCTCTCTTCACCCCACCTGCCTGCACACTCCACTGAACCTGGGACACATCTGCTGTGCTCAACATTTTATCCCCAGCTCCCAGTACGTGACTCGACACACAATGGGATCTCAGAAAAGACTGACGAATGAAGGATCTAAAAATCAGAATCCTGGAATTACTAACATCACATATAGTTGAGCCATATGTGGTTCGAAATCTCTAGAACTACCAAATTAAGGCTAATTTAGCAAAAATGGTTCAATTTTATCTTAACTGAAGTGCCACTCTGCCAGAGCT